CTAAACTTCATAACGAACTGCCTAAAAATAAAGCTCAATGTAAAAATCCACACACAAAAAACTAACTAACTTAATAATGGATGAATGAGGAGAAAGAAAAAAGGTAATCAAAAGGCAACTAATTATAAAGAAAATCAGAATCAACGAAGCGGACCACCCCTCCGACCTTGTCTATTGTTATACATATGTTGTTTATTGTGATTTGTTCCTCCCCCTAGTGAAAAAAGTCATTTGTATGAGAAATTTATTGTGTCCAATAAACATATATGAATTATACAAGATATATAAGAACATAAAAGAACCATATGAGAACTATATAAGAACCATATAAGAATTACATAAGATATATAAGAACCATATAAGAATTTCATAAGATATATAAGAACCATATAAGAAACTTATTAGAAACTTTATATGGTGCTTGTATGGTCGTATATATCTCATATAGTTCTCATATTGTTCTTATATAGTTCTTATATGGTTTTCATATGGTTCTTATATGTTCTTATATATCTTGAATGATTCACTACTGTTTATTGGACACAGAAATTTCTCATACAAATGAGAATTCACAATCCGAGGCCTCGGATTGTAAATGACCGTTGAAATTACCCTTAATATTATAGAATTTTTTGTTTGATTTTGGATTAAACTCATAAAACAGAGTTGAACATGGATACTATTACAATAAAGCTATTGAACATGCCAGAAGAAACAAATTACATTTTGCCATGAATTCGTGTTTACCTGAGTATGTATACCTGCAGCGCCCCACGCACAAGCCTTATTGGCTTGTCCGTGCACATATATTGAGATGTTAAAAACTGAAAATAAAACATTATGTATGTATGTATGTACGTACGCATGTATGTATGCATGTGTTATACAAAAGTCATGCAAAATTCAGTACGCAGACACTGTCTGAGGCGGGCTGCTTCTGCCAGGCGGCGCAAGCTACCTCCTGCCATTAAGAGTCATCCATCCATCCATCCTCCCTTGTACGAGTGACCTGCGTACAAAAAACCGTCTGCCGACGGGTTCGACGCACACAAACGTATGAGGCAGACATGCTTGGTAGATGTTTGAGGCGTGTTTGCGAATAATTCTGCAGTTATCACGCGCCTTCATATCTAACAGCGTGTGTTTAACGTCACCACGGGACTCCCCGCACGGTGTTTGGAATCTCCCTGGCCGGAACGCAGCAGGGCCAGCCCGCATCCTGTAAACGCTAACGTCCTAACATAGGACCACCGCACCGGCCGACCGCGTGTGAACATTTAGCGGATGTTCACAGGCCGCTATTCCCTCAGCGTGCGTGTTTCACGGCACTTTTGTAAAGGACGCGAGAAGCAAAACAGATAGGCTTGCGCACAACGCGCAAATTCCTCGAAAAATACGCGAGTAAAAACTTAAGCTGATGAACGGTATAGGCTGAAGAAAAAAAAGAATTGCACGTCAAAAATTTCATATATACAGAAAAATCGAAGCCCAGTATTGCAATAAATGGGCAACTTTTGTTTCTGTATATATTAACCGTCATGATGAGAACTGAGGGAAATCTTTCAATTGTCCCACCTCCAGTGCGAGCTCTTCGATCGCCCGTGGGGAAAACACTGAACTGGCCGGAAGACGTCCTTTCCCGATTTCTGCTCGTCGGCTTGTTGCTTCCGTGATTGCATGTTGTCAGAAATCGGCGCACGACGACCGAAGTAAAGCGATGGAAATTGCATTGGTCGTGCCCACAGCAACGAAAACGGCAGCAACGACATGATCGCAGGGAAAACCGTCACTCATAATGGCCTAGTGAATTAAGTGCGCCTTACATTGCCTCTGATGTCGCGCAGGGTGTCCCGGTGACTGTCGCTACCATCATATCAGGGTGTTGCCTATAGGTCGTTCTGAACGTAGCATGCGTAATCGCATGAGCCAGACATTGTGCGCTTAGCAACGTTTTTTTCGGCGCTGTAGTACGACGCTAGTTTTACTGTCGAGACCCCCAGTTATAACAAAGTCAACGACTATCGGAAATCACTTCGATATATCCGCTATTTCGTTATAACCGACTTCGTATAACCGACTTCGTTATAACCGGTCTAGAGAGTAGTTCTTCCATCACTTCCCCAAACAAGGCAAAGCCCCCGAAAACTGGCTTACACCAGAACACCCGCCACCGCCGAAGGATTTGACCAAATAAAGATCAGGGCAAACCATTTTGATGCTATAATGCTCGCATGCATCCCACAGCGGCTGCATGCAGCGAGCTTGCTTGCATGCACCCAAGCGTTGTGCGCTGAACTGACACATGGCACGGCATGGACTGTTTAAAGTCGCCATAGTTGTCGAGAGGGGCGACCCCTATAGGTCGCTGGAGTTGCGATGGGTCTTAGATGAGACACAAGATAGCCACGTGCTCTGGAAGCGTTGCGGGGCTGCACTGAGCACCATAGAAGCTTCGCTTGCCTTCACAATGTAGCAGGCTAGAGTGTCTGCACCGCAAAGAAAGCATCCCGAAAAAAAAATGTTCTCCCGCCTTTAGCTTTTGTAACCCAAGAGGGCCTCTCGACTTCTTGGCCTTCGAGAGTTTATAAGCGATCTTGTCCAGGTCCACTGGATGTTGTTGACGCATCGTATACCCGCGGGCGTTTCCTCAACGAAGGGTTCAAGACTTTTATTCCTTCCGGCGATTAAGTGGTCCCGCCGGATCTCCAAAAGCGTTCCGCTCATACCCCGGAAAGCGAAGCATCTGTCTTCGAGCCCCTTCTTCCAAGCCATAGCGGTCCCTCAGAAGAAGCGACATAGGCATCTATCGGAAGCTGCATGCGCTGGTTGCAATTTGACGGTCTCCTTGACAGACGTCGCTAAGGAAACGCGAGAAAGGCGTCCTCACAGAAGCCCCTTTGTCCCTGACCAGGCTTAACGACACGGACCGTTTTTTGTTTGTTTCTTTTTTGTGAGGAGGGGGCGCACACTCCAATAGACCCTTTCCGAAATTCAGTGCCATCTGGTGGCTGAAATGGCGGTTTAACTTCTGCCATACGAATGGCGGAAATGAACCCGTAGCCTGCAGTATTTTATCGGGCACCGTCACTTTTGCATGTCAACGGCAGACGAGAATAAACTTTTCGCTATACAGGTTTTTCTGGATCATCTCTTCCAGTGTCAATTCCCACAACGATGCAATCAGAATGAAGCGCCAACCCAGACAGAAGGGGTTTCGAAGTCGATTTTGTGCCACTAACAGGTTCCCTGGGCTCGAATTAGAGAAATGAACACTTACGCAGCGCTTCCATTCAATTCCGGTTTCGCAACGTGCTAACGTGTAGAATGTATAGGCCTCGAATCCTCAGCTTAGGAGTATCTTCAACATGTTCCTTCATCAGTAAATAGAAAGCCGCCATTGGTATGGCACATATGCCATTTTTTAGATGATGATGATAGTGATCAAAGTGGTCAGACTGAATTTCGGAAAGGGTCTATTGGCTCGCTCGGTCGTTTACTTCCAGCGTGCGTGAAGCGTGCTGGAAGCCCATGCGCTATGCTTTGTTCACCCTACGAAGAACGACATCCAAAGCTTACAATTCGTGAGGCGCATCAGCAATGCGCAATACTAGAGTCACATCATCGCTCCCCAGTCGATGAGATTGCGACATACACCGCAAGTAAGAGGCGTGGCCAAAACAAATGTTCACAAAACCTTGATGTATATAATTATTTTTTCTCTTTTTTTTTTTTTGCTTTTGCTTTTGCTCATGGGGTTTTGCCACTTTCTCTCTCTCTCTCTCTGTTTTATTTATGGACTCTTCTTTTTTCTCCTACGAGGGCCAGAGCCGTATATAGACCTTTTCTGTGTACATTGTCCCCAGGCACTTGATAGGCATATCCGGTATGGGCAACGAAAAAATATCAAAACGTTTCAACCTGCAAATAGGGAAAAAAGTAAAGGGGACGCAAAACGAGCAAGTGGGACGGTTACGCTTATATCCTAAATGCCTTCTATTGGCGTGGCAAAGGCAAAACAATGTTGGCGCCCATGCTGGAAGTGACGTCAATTCAAGATGGCGGCGAAGAGCGGGCAGAGCCAGGGTACAGGGCGTGCACTAGACGCAGAGAGGGGGCTTGACATGCCCTCCTGGCCACTGCCAACCAGAAGTCGGAAAGAATCCCCAACCGGTGGTAGCGAGAAACAGTTTACTACGCGCGTACGAGTTAAATGTAGTACCTCTCCATGTCTGGAAATATGCTCCTCGTGATTTTTCGATTATTATCATGCAAAAACATGTATAATAATCGAATGTGCTGCTCGAACTCTGTTTTGCTCGGACGGAGTATGACCGCTCGGACGGCGGATTCCCGGCCCTCGGCTGGCTGGCCACATTCGTATTTGTGGAGACGCCCTGGAGCACGTCCAGCCCGCTTTCGACCAATGGCGCCTCCTCATTTGCCCCCTACATACTTCCCAAAGTATGGCTTTGGAAACTCTTTCTGGCGAGGGCGGTTTTTGGCTATTTTATCGCTACAATTTATTTTTATTTTCATCTCTGCTGACGCACTTCCGCTAAGCTTCCGCTAAGCTTTCTTTTTGTTTTGTTTTGTTTTTGTCGGCCGTGCGACTAGAACCCGCTTCAACCACGAAAAGCAATATTAGGACTTTACGTCCCAAAGCACAAAGAGTCCTTGGGGAAGGAACCACCCAGGTTTCGAACCCTACCCTTTGAGCTCCGGAATAAAACCACGATGTCCAAAACGGCTCCTTCTAGAAAGAATAAACGAAAAAAAAAAAAAGAAGAAACGAAGGAGTAAGGTGGTCACCTGGTCCCTTTCGCCATTCTTGTTGTCACGTGACACTGGCTCCACCCAGGTTTAGGCCATCCTGTCTCCTTCGGGAGGCAAGAGGGCTTAGCGGTGCGCGCGAGGAAGGGGTGGGGGCTTAAGAGAGACCTCGTGAATATTTGATCGAAGTGGCGGCGACGCCATTCGGATGGTGAACGCGGTCAACGCAGGCCTCGGGCAGCGCAGGATGGGAATCGGTGGTTTTCTCGTGCTGTCGCTTCTGGCGTTGGGCCCGCCGGGTTCTCTGGGGAACCCAACCAGGGAAATGCAGCTGCTGTCGGCGATGGAAAAAGTCCTGGACGCGCTCGGATCAAGGATCGACGAGATGTACACGGACTCTGCTTTCGGACTTCGGTTTGCGGATGGTGAGAAGTTTGACGGTTCTGCCTACTCGAGTGGGCTCCACTGCGGTGCAACCTGTTCGAGAGTAGTAGTGGTCACACATTTGATAATATTAGATAAACATATGGTTAATTTTATTATCTTACAATATACTAGTACTGAAAGTAATTGCACCGCCAGTCTTCCCAATGTGCTCCGAGTGTGTCTCAAATTTACTGATTTAGTTCTTTCCGATGTCACTCAACCATTTTCTAATTGGAATCGTGCGTTTATTTCTACAAACCAAAAACTTAATCGACGAATTTTAGCTAATTCGTTGGACGTACCGCGACGATTATCTCCCTAAACAGGTCCCCTGGGTCGTACTAAGGGGTGTCCAAACAGGACACTACAAAACGCACGACTTCGACAAATCGTGAAAATTGAAGCGGGCGCGTCCGCTTCAATTTTCACGATTTGTCGGAGTCCTGCGTTTTGTTGTGTCCTGTTTGGACACCCGTTTAGTCACCTGCACAAACAGCATTAGCGCAACTTTCACGGCTTTTTTTTTCCCTTCTAACAATCTCTATAGCTGAAAAACACACATGTATGTGTATATTGTGTACACGATAGCACGACATCTACCACTAATTATAATTTATGTTTACGCGCATGTACAGCTGGTAACCCCCCCAAAAATTGCAGGATTTTTTTTTTTTTTTTTGCAAAAATAAATTACGTTTTGTACGCCGCCCAAATGCAGCGCTATAAAGGTCCGAACCAGTTGCCAAAGTTATCTTATTAAAAAGTTAAAAGTGATTTTGTGAAATCTTCAATGGGAAAATGGGCACATCGTGGGAAGAAACGAAGACGACGAATGAAAAAGGGACAAACACAAAACGTCTACATGAATTGAGACTTTTTTTTTTGTATATAGATAGCACGACTTCTCCCACTTCCCTGCTTTTACCCGTAATGTATCCGTAAATGCCAGTGAAGCAAATGATATGGAAAAGGTATATATTCCTATTCCTTTACAAGTCTCCGTTTTACCGTGGTCTAGAAAAAAAATTTGGACTTTTCAGTTGGTCATTTCCCCACGGACAGTGCGTGGAATCTATTTCGCGAATTCTTCGGTCTGCTACGCTCTAAGAAATGCCTGCGCGTCTACTTACCCGCTCAACGCTCAAAGAGCCAATAACTGCGATCTAGGAAATCAACTCAGCGAATGATGAGGCGGAACATCCGTTGAGACCTAAAAATATTGTGGTGGCTTAGCTCGGCTATGCCAGGATATACGTAGCGTGAGCTTATGCGCTCAAAATGAGAGGCGGTATCAAGCGGCTCCGGTGCAGCGACAGACTTGGCTACTGCGCAACGGAGGCGCACAGCTGGGCACGCGGCGGCGCCAGTGCGTCTGCTGCGGCTATGACGTCACTCTGGAATGCGCACGGGCGCGGCGGCGGCTCCGGTGCGCCAGCTGTGCGCCATATGACGTCACTGCTCCTCGCGCATGCGCAGCACGGAGCACGGCTCATTATGCGAGCCACGCGAAACCGCTCAACCTCGGCCAGTGTAGCTCAGGCTACAAAGTGGTCTGATTATATACGCAATGTAAAGCGTCATGCTTGCATTGCGTAATGCCACAGCGCAGACTTAATTTTGAGGTCTCAATGGATGTTCCGCCTCAATTTACGCTGAGCTGATTTCCTAGATCGCAATGATTCGCTCTTCGAGTGTTTTGCGGGTAAGTAGACGTGCAGGCATTTCTTGGAGTGTACCTGGATCGAAAGTATTCCAAGGCGGCCCGATAGATGGCGCCAGTGTATGCTATCTCACCTTAAAAAAGGATAGTTTTTTTAAGGGGGAATTGGAGGCCGCGTTTGTTTGCGCACCGCAACTCGGAGCACGCGCAAAAACAAAAACTCGTGCTGCAAAAAAAAAAAAAAAAGCTTTTGAATTTTGCAGATTTAATGATGTTCAATTCTCCACCACCCCTGCCCGTTTCGATCTGGATGAGCATCCTGCCGACGCGTGACCAATGGACATAAACCGTCACTAAAGGAGAAAAAAAAAAATATGCGCCTCGGACATTGTTGGCATACTGTCTTTCGTACAACGTGTTAGAAGCGTGACTTGAGATCTGCAGTATAGAAGGTCGGCCTCCAACGGCAGCTTTCGATAACACATCGGCGCACGCGCTGTCGAAGCACGACGAAAGGCAACAATAAGCGCGACGCGGAGGTTCTTCACCTGGTCTTTTTCTTTTTATGTTTCTTGAGGCAGACTAGCGTCTTTCAAAGAGCATGCATGCAATAAAATGCTAACTAAACCTAAACATAACCTGGACGGAAAGTAAAGTTCTTAGCTAAATTTTTTTTTTCTCGGCACAGGCACGAAAATGCTACGCTTTCAACTTTAGCACGTCGGAAATATTCTCTACAACTTTTTTGTTTGTTTTTAGTGAATGCGTGTTCGCCACTTGATGACCTCGTAGAGTGCTGAACAGTTTCGTTTTATTTCTTAAAATGCTTTCTACTGTTATTACGGCAAGTTGTAACTAAATGGATAATATGTCATGAGTAAGGCGGTGATAAAAAGTATCCAGGCGAATCGCTCGTCCCGAGTGGCAGCCTCTACGAACGCCTTGCAGCGGAGATAGAAAGCTGCTTCAGACACTGGCAACTTTCTACGACCGAATGATCCCTCTTACGACGCGAGAATACGCAGGCGCCATCTATGAGCTAGCCCCGGAATTGCATTAAGCGAGAGTGAAGGTTTTGCTGTATTTGCAAGGCCAACAGTTTCTTAGAAACAAAAAAATAAAAAATTATGCGCAAAAAAAACAACAAAAAAGCGGAAATTGCGAGTGCTTTACGATTAGTTGACAGATGGCGCCAGTGCGCCCACGCGTCGTACGAGATCGCAAGCGGTTGCGACGCACTCGGTCGTGCCACAAGTCCGTGAAGCAGCCCTGACGTCGTGTTCTAACGCATGACGATAGATCAACTGCATGTCCTCCTGGAGCACTTGGAAGCCGGAGGACCGCCCACGCCTCCCGTGGCACTGGACGCCATCCGGGCGGTGCAAGTCAAAGCGCATCGATACGCCCGTGCTGCCGCCGTCGTGGTGGACACGTCGTCCTCGACCCGTAAGACATTCCCCACGCCGTACAGTGTATATTTGTTTGTTTATTTCATTTTTGACACAATCGTCAGGGAGGTTGGGACAAAAGGCGAAAACGAATCACCTGACTAGGTCCCAACCCGAACATGACCTCCTGTGGTCTCAACTTCTGCGGAACGCAAGTATCGTCTGCTTCTTTTGCAGGGGTTCTGGTGACGTCAGAACAACGCCGAGCCCTGATTGGATCTTATTGAAGGATAGTGGGTGTAGACCTTTGCAGAAATCGCCTCCTGCGCGCTGCCATCTTTGTCTGCTGGGCTGTGGAACGCCTTCCCAGCATGCGCTGTTGATCTGCTGTGCGGTATATCGGACGCTGCGCATGCGTCCACAGCTCAGTGACTCAGCATTTTTTGCCCGCTCGCTTCGTTCGAGACTGCCGCTGGAAAGGTCTATAGAACTCAGAGCAAGCTGCCTTGAGGTCTACCCACTATCCCTCCATGAGAGCCAATTAGACCTTGGCGTCGTTATGACGTCAAAAGAAGCAGACGAATTTGCGCTCCGTATAGAGCATATGCTCCGCTTACAGAGCAGAGTATCGCAACGGTCTGGAATTTTCGTTACTTCAAGTATTGCGGGAGAGGCGAACGTCACTCTTGCAGGAGACGCGACGAGCGCGAAGACAGGAGTGCGCAGTCAGTGTTAAAGGCGTTACCGAAAAAGAAAGAAAAAAAAGCAACGAAATACCTTACTCGTTACTTGCAAGTAAAAAGAACGTGTTACCGATCCTTCCGTTACCTCAAAAATAGAGAGTTTTATAGTATATCGTTCCGATACCTCCGATACCCCCATAACGATACGATGCAGGCGCAAAGGTCGAGTATTGTTTTCGAGGATCGAGTATTGTTTTCGGAGTCGTCGGAACGATCGACTAAGACTCTAATAAAAGAAACGCATTATCGATAAAAAAAAAAAGTAGCGCACGTTACTTTGCGTTATTTTTAACTCGTAAATGAAAACATTTTACAGTTTTGACGTTACTTGCACGCACGAGCGCCATATATTTCGAGAAACATTATAGGTTCATGCAGAAAGCGGGAGGGTCTGCGTGGAGAAAAGAGAGACGAATATTGTACGTGGCATAAGTGCAAACATTCGTATAATCTCACGCCAAAAACAAACAAAAACAAGGAGTAACGTAACTACGTTACAAGTAAATACTCGTTCATACAGTTGCGTTTGACTGCGGCAAGACTGCTTGCGTCGGCCTGTTGCTATGGCGACGCTTACGACGAGTCAATGGGGAGGCGCTGTGCCGCACGACGCAACGCGGCTCACTCAACGCAGTCGACGCTTAAGGTGCAACCCCACCGTGCATGACGTTTTCATGCTTTTTTGACGGCTTATGACTTTCTTTCTATGTATCTTACATTTATAAAGTTAATGTCAAATGAAAGAGCTGTTTTTCAACACTACTTTAATGTCTCGATATTACGATTATTTTTAGTGGTTAGTTAATTATTTAGCTTTTAATAGACCACAGTCTCTAATATTGAAAAATTTATTTCTCAAGTTATAACGTCCTATATCCCACGATATTTTAAGTGAGCGTTCGGTTGGATGTCATAAAGTAAAAAAGTAAGCAACGAACTGTACAGATAACCTATATTTTAAAATAAAAAATAAAGTTTAAAATGGCATTTTTTTATGGCGCTGTAAAAACGGAATCACGTCAACGAATCGAAATAACGAGACATTAAATTATGAAGCATTCTTCGATATTACAATTTCCAGAACTTCCATATTGATATATTACACGTTAATAATGTTATAAGACCTGAAACTTTTCCCATTCAGTTACGGCAAATTGTAGTTTCTTATTATAAAATACAGATGGCGACACGTGTTCAAGAAGAGCTTGATGTGCATTTTCCGTCGTGTGCCGCTTGGAACGCCACGGGAAAGACAGAAAAAGCGCCAGATGTCAGGGTGTCAGATGCCTGGATGCTCGCAGTGAGCGAGCCAGAGATGTCAGAACAACAAGCGCCAGACTGCGGGTGCACCACAGCTCCTTTTCGCGCGTTCTACTGTGCGTCGGTTCACATGCCCGTCGCGATCCAAATGAAATGGGCGCCACGAAATGCATTCTGCCATTTCAGATTCCGCTACGTATGCGAAAACATTTTAATGTTTTTATCACTTGCAAAAATAAATTTCGCATTCAAACTATGCTTGTCGGAATAGTTCGACTATATTTTGTTTCAAAAACCACCTCGGTGGCTCTTTAAGTAGCAATGATATTAAAACGAAACACAAAACATTAAATCGTCTCGGTGTCTCTGAGCTAACGCGCTGGCCCATGAATCTATATTTGTCGGATTTAAATATCGGCCGAGGTACCCGCAATCCGACGGAGGCCAATCTGAGATTTCGGTTGCACGTCAAAAGATCTCCAGTTAGTCAAAATAAACCCGGATTTTTTTTTTTATTAGGGCGTGTTAAGTGATTTTTGTTGGTCTGGCTTGTGAGATACTTAGTTCAGAGCGCAGCAAACGCTAAGGGATGATGAAGCCACTGAAGCATCGCCAAGAGCGCAAGGTTAAGCTGTTCGTTCTCTTTCTGCTAAACCCACTAAATAAGCTATACGCTTCATACACATCTTGGTGCTTAAAATGATGGTTGTCAGTTATCTGAAACTTTATCTTAAATCACAGGAAACGCTTTTCCGTCCTCCAAAATGTTTAAACAGTCCGAGAAAAAGCAAAGCAATATTACGTGAGCTACCTGACACCGAATGCTGAGGAAGTCGCACTTTTGAATCATGACGATCAGCAGTTGCGTTTGATTTGTTACTAACCAACAAGATGGCGGCGCCCAAAACAATATCGGGAGGACAAGTGCCGATACTCTAAGCGTAGCTCATTTGGTTTACCTCACAGGCTAAACCTAAAGCCCCTCCATCCTGGGAAAAGTGGTGCCATTCATTGTTGTGGAAATGCCCGAGGCACGTGCCGCGCGCCACTTCTGGGAAATTCATGGCGTCTGAAATCTAGCTCAGTGCTGCGTTGTGCCGTCGTGATCTTCCCAAGAGCTGCACGTTGCACGTGCCTCGTGCATCGACGAAGCTTGCGCTACTTTTGAAACATGAAGGGGTTTTAGCTAAACCAAGTGCGGTGGGGGATCGTTGGCCGAGTGTATTGTGGCACCGCAAACCAGAGCATATGAAAAAATGCTCGAGCGCGAGCTCCCTTCAGAGCACGGAGCTCACGCTGCAGAACCTGTAGGGACTAACCGCCGAATTCAGAAACCTCACTCAAACTGAAGGGCCCCTGCACTTCCTCGAGGAAGGCTCAAGGGCCGGCGCTGGCCAATCGCGACGGCGGATCCGTCCTCGCGATTGGCCAGCGCCGGCCCTCACGCCTTCCTCGAGGAAGTGGAGGGGCCCTTCAGTTTGAGTGTAGTTTGAGTGAGATTTCTGAATTCGGCGGTAAATACCCTCGATGCCGTTTGCGCTGGTCTTTCATGTAACCTCAAACGTGCCAGTGCACGAGGCCCGTCTCTCGAGCGGCCCTTGGAGGCAAATGGCGGCGCAGCACTAAAATGACTGGCCCTTGAAAAAGAATGGCGGTGGAGCACCCACTCGTGGCACGTGTCTTGCGCGTTTCCACAACAATGGTTGGCGGTACTTGTAAAAAACGCTTTTAGCAAGGGGCTTTAGCAGGGACCCTTGGTTCAGTCGCCTATCTGCATCCTACCGTCGTGCGATCGTGTACCACATATACTGCGTAATGTACGTTAAAGACACCGAGCTAACAGTTGTACAGCACTTTTTATAATCTTCAACGGGTAACAATGCCGCCTTACAAAACTCCTGCTCTTTAAAAAACTAACGACTAATTCTGAATGCTCCGTTACATTGCACTTTAAAATGTGTTCGCGTGTTCGCGTTATTTTTTATTTTTTTTGTTTCTACATCTTTGATTATGCGGTTCTTACTTATGAAACAGACTATAGTTGTCGGACGTCTGGCAAATATTATATAACTAAGAAAATGGCACATGAACGCAAAAGACAAAACAGCAACAACAACAGCAACAAAAACATACACATAGGCGCACTTAATAAAAATAATTGAAATAATAGAATTGATAATAATTGTGTTTTCAAAGGTTTGAGCGCACCAAAAAAGCTATAAAAGCAAGCTCGATGCATTTGATGGTGCGCTTGTTCACTGGAAGTGTAGTTCAGGGCAGTATGCTCGCACTTTTATGTTCCGCTTCGCTCACACGATAGAATCAAATACTCTACTGGTAATGTATTTAGTGAAACAAAGCTACCTTCTGCATATGTGCAAGGCCCTCCGTTTTCGCGTGATTACACGGACGCTTGTTTATCATTATTGTTTTCGTTTCCCACTGCGATTCATTTCGTGTTTTTTTTTTGTACGCTGCATGCATTATATAGATACCAAGGTAACCCAAGAGCATGCTATTTTGCGGATTGTAAAAGAAAACCTATGCAACTTGACACGGGTGCCACAATCAATACAAAATATTTTATAAGCTTCACTTGTGACCGCTGGCCTGAGTAAACATTGTTGTTTGTCAAAGACAATTGCGATTGTATGAAATCACGTCGGAAAAACTCGTTCTAAGCACACGACCATTAGCATACAGTGAATACTCATAATCGGCGCCGAGATGATTGGTAGCTGTCAGCGAGTGGAGTTTTTCTATCAACACAGAGTTAGAATGTTTCCTTCTTTCTGTTGTAAGCAAACAGGAGAGAACTTGCACCAAATCTTAGGGTAATAAAGTACTGTAAACATTCAAACATTACTGCCTGAGCAGTATATGCGCGCAAACTTTAGCTTTTGATGCACGCTTAACTTTCGATACGCTCAACGCTAGTGTAAAATGTTGCGCTGTTTCAATCTTAATCAGCGTACCATGTGCGTGCTTACACTGCATTTTATGCAACGTCAAACCCTACCCGTTTGCATCTTTTTTTATTTATGCACACCACTACTTCCGCGCATAAATCACCAAATTAAGACTGGTACAGGATGTCACAAAACAATTACAGTTTTTTTTTTTTACCGCAAAAATTAGCTATGCATTGCCTAACGCTCATTCTCTGCCCAAAGGTAGCACCAGGTCACCAAAGTTTTATCCCGAAAGGACACCTTATTTAAAAGTTATAAGTGATTTTCTGAAAATTTCTATGGGAAAATAGAGCTCGTTTTTGCCCGTTTTCGGTTTTTGGTGCCCATAGAGCCCCATGTATTGGAAAACTACGTCGGCCGTTATTTTCCCATTGAACTTTTCAGAAAATCACTTATAACTTTTGAATAAGGTATCGGATCGGGCTAAAACTTTGACATCTGGTTGTGACCTCTAGCGCTACCGTTGGGCGGACAATGAGCGTTCGGCGATGCCTAGTTTAGCATTGCGGTAAAAAAAAAAAAAAAAAAAAAAAAAAAAAAAAAAAATCCTGTAATTTTTTTGTGACAGACTGTACATTGCTTAAACAATGTGCAAAAGCTATCCACAGACCCAGAATCTTTGCCTGGCCAGTCATGCATTTATCACTGGATTCGTATTAGAATTAATTATTATAATTTATTGCTGTAAGTGAAATTTTAACCTCGGCATTTTTTTTTTATTATTATGACTCCCGCACCAGTCCTGCTTTGGGTTTACCAAACTCAACATCTAAACCTGAGTGTCATTTTTTGTGTTTTCCAGCCTCGTGGTTTTGGTCAAACTAAACACCCAGCTACCTAAATGAGACACCTGAGCGCCCAAAAAATAGTTAATTTGTTTTGATATTTTAGGTAGTTGATTCCTCAAGCTAGAATTTTGAAAACCCATGTCTATCACGTCTATCACGTTTTCCTGGAAATCCACGAAGAGCCAAACACATGCACGACAAAAGGGCCGGCCCGTCTTGTTGCCGCCCGCAGAGCCGAGAAAGCAATACTCGGTCACGGACTTCTAGAAGATTCGCGTTCATTCTTGGACCAGACTTAACTTTCGCCCTGCTTTCTTGTTCTCGAAAGTGCCAGTTCATCCTCGCCCCGAGCACGTGACGCTCGAACTTTCTTTGCCGAACTTTCGAGATAGTGACCCACTGTAGATAAGCAGGTGCCCGCGACATTGTCGAGTCAGTCTCGTTCTCGCTCTCTGTTACGCTGCCGAATCGCCGTCTGGTTTCTGCTGCCGGCCTCGACGCTCTTTCTTTACTTTTTTTGTTTGGCACAAGTTCGCCGATAAAACCTTTATTTTTCAGTTCACTGTTCGTCCTCTCGTCACCTTCATATGTGACAATATAAATCTAATCAACATTGAAATATGTGTAATTGGCCTCTGAAACATCCAATAGCGGCGCACGGGCAATTTTATATTTTTCAACGCGTCGGTGGTTTTGTTATGCATGTGTCTCGCCATTTGGCTCAGGACGATTTTCGCGTTTTGTTCTGCCCACATTTGCTGGAGACGTGAGCTCGGAGCGTAGAGAACTCGACCCCTTGCACGAGAACTGGCGAAGCCGTGCGCGTTCCAAAGAAAGCTCGTGGAGAGAAGAACAAGCCAGGGTATAGGGATGTCAAATTCAGGACATAGAAATATACCCCGCTGTATCGAAGCGCCACCACGCACGATTTCTCGCATTGATGTTCAGGCCTGGAAGGCGATCCCACCGCCATCTATTGGTTCAGAATCACACTAACCAAGGGTGGGGTTGCACCTTAACTGCGTGTGAACGCGCCTTTACTAAAACAAATAAGTAACGTATAACGTACGTCATCCGTTACTGTTTTGCAACAGCAACGAGTACGTTACAAAGTAACGCGTAACAAGTAACGTCGTTACTCGTAACGCGTAACAGGCGGCGCTGGGCGCAGTTCATCGCGCAGCGCCGGCAGAACTGCGCAAGCGCAGTCGTGCGTCTCCCGGAATCCTCGGAAGCGCACGCGCGCGCGCTGCGTTGTCAGCCGTCGTATCGTCGGCTTGAACACGGCCGCTTCAAAACAGCGCTTAAGTTATAAAAAATAAATAAATAATAATAATAAAACGCAATTACACGCGTCTCAGTGACACACGTGATGTGCAGTTTCTTGCGCACCCTCTAATAATAATTTTTAAAAAAAGCTACTGTACTTTTCGGATTAGAGTTCGCAGCCAATGCGCTCGTATTGTCCACGGGGCACATTTTGGTTAAAACGAAGTTTCTCTTTTATGTGTGCTGTCCGCAACATCGCACGACGAGCGCAGTGGCAGCGGGAATTCTGCGCGAGGGCCTGTGGAGAGCCGTGAACCCGGGCCCGCCGGGAGCCGAAGCCCCATCTCCCGCGAACGGCACCCTGGACAGCCAGGGACTAAACGAGAGCGTTTCGGATCGGTGTCTGGGCCAGCTGTTCTCCGGAGAGGGATGCCGAGACGTGAGCGGCCCCTGCTGGAGGACCATGACCGGCGGGGGACAGCGGGGCTACGGTCTCACGCACCAGGTCCTCTTCGTCACCATAGGCATGGCGGTGAGGACAGGTACACAAAGTGTGCGGAACCGCGGCCACCAGTGCTACGTGCTCGTGCACTTCGTGTCGTATATGGCGCACTTCAGAACGCATGCATGATGACCAGGTTTCGACGGATCGTTGTCGAGCTCTTTCGCGTGCTAGGTTTCTTTTAGACCGCAGCTCTTAGGCGCCCTTTCCCGGCTTGAGCGGCGTCGGCGTCGCCGTTGGCGTCGCCGTCACCGCGAGTAACCCTCGTAACCCTCGTGAGGGTTACGAGGGTTAATCTCACGAGGGTTACCCTCACGAGGGCTACGAGGGTTATGAGAGTTACCCTCACGAGGGTCACGAGGGTTATGAGAGTTACCCTCAGGAGGGTCACGAGAGTTACCCTCACGAGGGTCACGAGGGTTATGACAGTTACCCTCATGAGGGTCACGAGAGTTGCCCTCACAAGGGGTACTAGGGTTACCCTCACGCAGGTCACGATAATTACCCAGGTCACGTGACCCCTTCAGGGGTCACGTGACCTGGGGATAACCCCCCCCCCCCCGAGGTCACGTGACCCCCCGTTGACGTCATCGCCACTGATGACGTCACCGGCATCCGGATTGTCATCAGCATCATCACTGATGACGTCATCAGCAACGTCACTGATGACGTCACCGGCATCCGCATCGTCATCATCACTGATGACGTCATCCGTGACGTCACTGATGACGTCACCGGAATCCGCATCATCATCATCATCATCACTGATGACGCCATCAGTGACGTCACTGATGACGTCATCGGTATCAGCATCGTGATCGTCACTGATGACGTCATCAGTGACGTCATCGGCATCGTCACGGGACCCCCAGGTCACGTGACCCCCCGACGTCATGTGACACCCCAAGGTCACGTTATTCCCACAAGGCCACGTGACCCCCCCCCCCCCGCCCCCTAAGGTCACTTGACCCACCCCCCCAGTACCCTTCTTTCCTCCTCCTCAAGAGCTGCGCTCTAATTCGGCGTTACAGGGAGTTGTAAACGGCTTTCATTTTTTTTAATTAGAAAGCATTAACTGTTTAATGCGAAAGCATTAGCTGTTTCATGGAGCGAACTGGCGTTATCAGATCTTAAAGCCGCGCCGAACGGCACTGTCCCATTGGAGCCAAGTCTGTCGTCCGTAGCAGCACTCTGGTGTATAGGCTCCCTTGGCTGGCGCGCGTCATATATAGCTTCAAGGAACGAGGCCCCCATTGGCTGCCTGCGCGGCGTAGTTCCAAAGACCTCCACGAAAGAAAGACGCCTCTGACAGTACCTAAAGACTGTCTCTTGTCAGATGAGAATGCCAGGAAAGATTGTCCGATTGCTTTGCTGGCAATGGCAGCTGAACTGCAGCGTCAAGATGGAGTCCCTGGCCGGCCAGTTCCGGCAACCCGGACCTCGGATCCTGCTGGAGTCGCTTTGCCGCCGAGTGGTCCAGGAAGCGGAAACGGTGGCTGAGGCGGGATTCCCTGCCCGCCTTCGGGACCTGTTCCTCGAGCAAGGTTCGATACGTTGCCAGTAGAACTGAACACACGAGGTTGTCTTCGTCCTGCGAGGGCATATATGGTTCGTTGGTGGCACGACATGCCAAACGCGTAATGCTGGACTAAACCGAAAGTATTTTTGAACGGTATATAATGAATATTTATCGAACCCATGTTTTTCCGTTTTGCAATTCCTAGGCTAAATATGCGTAATAAATGCTCGTAGTCCCGAGATATGGCTTGTAGCTTGGTAGCGTACATATTAAAGGGGCCCTGCAATCATATTTAAGCGTCTACCTTTTTTGCGGTTTCCACGTCTCTTGGGGTTGGGGGAAGCCAGCGGGCACGGAGAGAGTAACTAAATATCAGCGCGTCATATTTTAACCGGACGACGCGGAAACCTACTCCACCGACGAGGGCGACCCGCGGTACCGAAAGCGCGCAAAATGTGACGTCTTTGGTCCTGGGCTTGCCACTGGTCAAAGCCGCTAAGATCTTTTTTTAGTCGAGATACAAAATATAAGTGTCGCGAACCGTTTCAATTATGTATGAAAGTAGTTTTTGTTCACTATTTTAGATCAGAAAAGAAACAAATGCAGTTTAGAAAGTACGGAAACGATAAATGACCCGTCGACATACCCGCCACCAAGCGGCGGAAAAAAACGGCGCATACTAGAAAAGGCTAGTGGGATGAGGCTACGACAAACGAGGAGCGTAGAAAGGTCCCGGATGTACGCGGCGGCGCTGTGGTCGTATACCGGCTCAAGAATCCGACCGGTTCCGAGCGTTCCGAAGGCTTTCGGCGCGGGCCCTGCTGGCGATTTGGCCATTTGGCGGTGCGTCAGCGCGAAGTGGCTCCCGTTCTGAACTGATCTTTACCCCCTGTTTGCTGTCGTTTGTGGCCAATGAAATGTTATGCCGAATTAGTGTTTAGTCGCGCTGCAAATGCAATACGAGCTGCCCTGGCCGCCCGCTTCATACAGCCTATCCAACACGTGCTTTAGTGGCGCCCTCTCGAGCCGTCGACACGGAGTGCGGCAGCCGTGTGCGCTCGATGAGCTCACTGCTCCTCCTCTAGTTCAAGGCCGCTCAAAACAGGACCTACGACGTCATCAGGGAGGTTATTTTTTGCTTGTTTTTGTAATTCTAATTTGCCTATAACTTTTAAAATAAAGCGAAATTTGAGAAAAGAAAAGTTGGATTAAGTTACTACGTTCAGTACGGTCAGGTTCAGTGCAAATTAAAAACCAGTCAAAAAGTCATTGCAGGGCCCCTTTAATATATTTTTGTTTCGTTACGGCATCCCATCGATTTCTAATGTATGGCTTCCAAATCGTGCAGAAAATAGGGGTGATGTCTCAAGAACTTTTGAAAAAAAATATAATATGATGGGAAGTTTTTCACTAGGACGAAACTAAAAACCACATTGCGTCACATTTTTATTTTTTTATTTTTAAAAGATTAAACAGAGATTTTGGAATTTGGACGATCATCACAACGTCACGTATGGGGGGCTTCTTCGGGGTCAAATACCTTCCGCGCAACAAAGAGGCTTTTAACGTGGCTTTTTAAACAACTATGGAAGCGCAAGAGGATATAAAAAAATTGTTGCATTTATTTATTTTTCTTAACATTAAAAACCAGGCCCCTTGGGTGATTATTTACCAGGTTTTAATGATGATAACTTTTGTAACATCAAATTTTATGACCTAAACTATATGTAAAAATAACACTTCAACAGATACCTATTCAACAAGTCCGATATCGTTATAATCACATAAAGTTATCTTTGTAAAAAACGCCTTTGAATACAAAAAAAAAACCTTTAAAAGTGTGAATTTTAACAAATTTTCTTAAAAGTGGCAATTTAAAATTTGTTTTTTGTTTTGATGCGAAGCCCTTGGCATGGTTTAAAAGTTCCACTAAAATCAGACGTAATAAATGGTTTGGACATATAAATCCGCACATTTCAAAAAACGAAATATTTCAAGTTCTATTTTAAGATGCTAAGCTTGGTCGTCGTTATTGCATGCCTCTTAATTAATTAGTTCTTGGCACGTTGTCAGAGTATTTGTTGGCTTCGATTTTACAAAAAAAAATTAGATAATATTGTAAGGCTGATGCGCAGATGCGATGCTATACACCAACTCATGTTTACAAACAAACCGGAGCGCCCGGAACGCCTCTAGCGGACGCCACCGGCGCCGCGCATGCGCGATGGGGGTGTGGGCAAGGCGCTCGCCGTCGCCCATAAACAAACCATTGAAATGCGATGTTATCGGCGTCTGTGTGAGTCCCCCTGCCCTTTTTCGCGTTCGAATTGTTGGTTCTACGTCTTCCTGGCGATGTCTGACTATCTTGAGCGGCGTCAGCGAAATTAACAAGGCTCGTTACACCGCAAAACTTCGCGTCAATAATGTGACATGCGGCGATTCATTCCGCGTGGACGCCGCAGAATGTACGCTAAAGCCTGATTCGCATGATGAGATTTCGCTCGGAATTTTCAGTCGCAACGTCGCTCGGGCTGCAAAAGCGTGAACCGAAGCTGAGATGGTCGACGTCGATACTGAAAATCTAAAGCAGAATCGGACTATGCGAATCAGGCCTAGCAAGTCGGTGATCTTCACTGGTAACAATGATCAACATCTCCTTGTATCTACTGTTTACATCGACCCTGCTCACCAACCTTCAAATTTAGGTCTTTTGAGGCGTGCATTACTTCTTGTCGCAAGTACCGGGCCAAGATTCTGTCTACGGGCCGGCGTCGTCTGAGAGAGCAGACGACAAGCAGACACGTCTGAAAGAGCAGACGACAGTTCGAACGATCAGGTGGCCGTTTGAACTTGAAGACGCACTGAACGTAGTCCGCAGGTGGTCCGCACAACTTGACGGTTTTTTGGCGTTCATGTTGGAACAAAACAAATAAATCTGATGATCACAGCTATCCGTGAATTCAACCCAAAGTGCTTCCCACCCAAGCAATCGTTGTCCGGCGGCGTCTGCTTTTCCCTTTTCACGGCACATATCCATATTCTCGGACGAACCGAGCACGTAAAAACTGACCTTGAAACCTTTCTCGACACTTCTGGTACGGCCCCAGTCGCGGCGTTTTGACGAGAAGGCAGGTTTTTGTCTCGTTCCTTTCAAAACAACGCAGGAATACACGTCTGGCATGGGGACTTCTGCCCACAGCCCCAGACCGGAAATGCGACCGACGCGCCACCACCGCGCCGTGACGTAACAGAGATGAGTTCGTGTATACATAGTGTATGAGGGTTTTTCTGCGCATGTTCAATTTATTAACTAAAAATATCTGAAATTACAATTAAAAAGATTTTTGAAACTCTCTCATGAGAAGTAAAAGCTTATTAGATACTGTCATGCTGAATTTTTATGCGCAGTGATGAAGTAATTGGGTGAAACAAAATATTTCCCATGTGCCGACAGCCCATGCACGAAATTTGAGGTTTTCCCAGCTCTCGCTTCACCGCGCGCACTAAGCCCTCTGAGAAGGTCTTCAAACTTACTGATATTCTTTTCTTTTCTTTTATCTTCGTTTTTAGAAAGAGAAACCCTGTATGGACAGTGGGGAGCTAAATACAATCGCGGGTTACTACATTACTCTCAAAGCTTAGCTATGTGTGGCGTTGAGAAACCTGGGCTTGCTTTCAGCTTTCGTCCATAAGTGGCATGACCGAATGTTCTTGACAAAGCTTACAGCATTGCGTTCCCTTTTTCATGGCGTCGAGGTAGTGAGCCATCGTGCTGTGACGGCATATGGAAAGTGCCAGCGTACGTGTCGTGGCGCGTGGAGACCATGGGCTCAAGCATCAAGCCTCCTGGCACCAACCGCAGATCTACAGAACTTAGAACAACTGGCCGTGCTGATGACTTCGTTCAGATAGTCGCCCCTGAAGCCTGGAACCAAAAAGTGACGCACCACATCTGGCCTATTGCTGCGACGAAAAAAAAAAAAATAAAGAGAACAAGGTTCTGGTCACATTGGGTATACGCGACTTGTGGACGAAAACTCGAAATAGGGCAGGTCCCTCAAGCACTTTGCCAGGAGGGGGGGGGGGGGGGGGGGGGGGGTCATTGGGCCCGGGCCCCTCCCCCCCCGAAATCTTCCATTTTTCTGAGACCTCCTCTCTCCCCTCCCCCTCATACAGCACTTTGTTATGGGCGCCCCCCCCCCCCCCCCCCCCTCCGAAACAAAATCCTGGCTACGTGAATCTGGTCCCTCAAATTTACATTCAAACGATTTGCTAAGCCTCAGGAATGAACCTTTAAACCATGTTAACGTCGCCTTGTGGTCACAAGAAACGTTCATGTGAACTTGCATTATTAGATATTTTATGTAATTGCATGTACAGTGCTCTTCAAACTGAACGTCGCAACTCGGTTACCCCAATATTGAACTACTGCCGCCTACTCAAAGGTAAATTCGCCACTGCAGCAGCCTCAATGTCTTCCCATTCGAGGTGGTGATCGGGGGTAGTTGAACGTAGTTGAGCCAGTAGGTCCCGTAATAGCACAAAAAGTCACCAAAACGAAGCATCTCATAACGGCGTTAGGTTCGGGAAACAGGTACTTCCCCACGGTATACGCGATTTTTTTCTTTTTTTTTTACTTTTTAAAGATGAGCTTTTTATGAGGCCTAGTGTACGTGGCGAAGTGGCAGTTGGAAAAGGGCGAAATTTCGCCCTAGACCTCTCGGTGCTTCAACAATAATATTTTTGTTGACTCTAGTGCCACAGAATCCCGGATAAGACTTTCGGACTCATTTTAGGCCTCAAACACTCATTTTAGGGAAATATATTTTTACTAGCGATTTTTTAAAGCAAGCAAGCTTGACGTGTGTATGAGAATTTTTTTATATATATATATAACATGCTTAATTATGCGTTATAGTGGAGTCAACCAACTCTATTAGTAACCACCAACGAATAATTAACAATCGGGCAGAAACAGATGGCTACAACCCAGCTTTGCATCTTAAAATGTAACTTCAAATATATCGTCTTTTTGAATGTACGGATTTATAAGTTCATACCATATACTTCATCCAGTGGCTTACCAACTTGTTTTTGAGTGTGCGTGTGTGTGGGAGGGGGGTGGGAAGGGGGCGGGGAAGGGGGCAAACCAGCACCACCCCCCCCCCCCCCCCCTTCGCAGGGCCGGGGGCCGGTGCCTTTGGTATCCTTTGGGCGCCGCCGGCCAGTGTTTGCCCTGCCCAGTGGTGGCTGTTTCAGGGGGCGGAGGGGGGGGGGGGAACACATGCCTTGCCCCCCCCCCTCCCCCCCCCCCCCCACACACACACACACACACACTCTGAGAACTGGGGAGCAAGCGTTTGTTACGCCCATGATTTCATCTAATTTTTATTGGATGTCTTGGACAACGCGTCGGACACCTACGGCCCGCAGGCCGGTTTCGGCCCGCGAGGGAATATTATACGTCCTCCGGCACGCCACCAAAAATGCTCCCCCCCCTCCTCTTCCCAACCCTAACACACGGTCTGGGACAAGCGTTATGTTTGTTTGCAAGTCCAGTATATTCGGACGTTTTAACCCGAAAGACTTTCCAGAGAAAATTCGCTGATCAGCTGGTCCCCAAACAAACAATAAGCTGAAGAATGCATTTGCACGGAACGATTTTGTCAAGCTTTCCGCTGGCCTCCCTGAATTTGTTTTCAAATCTACGAAATCCTGCAACGCCCATGATCGAAATGTTCGCTACACCATGTATGCATCTGCGCACATACGTTTTTCAAAAGAAAGACCCTGAAGTCAAACGTGGATCTAGCGAATGACAGATGAGCACCTCCAAAATGTTTCAGGACTCGCAGTTTAAAGTTTCAAGGTGAACGTTCGCAACTTGGCAAGCAATAATGAACAACAAAACTCTCACTGAGGAGGCTGGAGTAATCAATTAGCTTACGTGTGCCTTATTCAAGAAAACATCTTTGCATTTCCCTCCGAGTATGTGACACTTTTTTTTATTTATTTACATCGATCCGACCCCCCTCGCGTCTCCATTTTTTGCCTCCGGCCCGCTTCGTCTCCACTTTGAGGGGATTTGCTCTGGTGCAGCAAAAGGTTGCCGACCCTTGTTTTAGACCATTCAAAGAGCTTTCCATGTCAAAAGAAGACAACCCCTTAAAAAAAAAAAAAAAAATCTTTCAAGAATATTGACGTTGAAATATGAACTTAGTTTCTTCTTATGTTCAAGAGCGTTTTTCGCTAAGATATCATTTTTGTCTATAACGATATTGTACTTTCTTGAATAGGTACTTGTTCAGGCTTTCATTTGATAAATAATTTATGTCATACAATTACATATTACAAATGCTATCTTCATTTAAACCTGGTAAATTATCGTCAAAGATGTCTGGTTCTGAAGTTTTTCCAAAAATAAATAAAATAAAAACAACCAAGTTTTATTAACATCTTTCGCTTTTAATGTAGTTCAGAACATTAAAAAGTTTATTTGTTGTGCGAAAGGTATTCGAGCCTTGCGAAGCTCCGAAATACGTGACCTGCGACGGTCGTACAAATACCGAAATTCGCTTTAGCCGTTAAAACTTAAAAAAAAATATATATATATATATGACGCAGAAACGGTTTTTAGTTTCGTCGTAGGGAAGAATTTCCCCAGCATGTATAATTTTTTTCAAGCGTTTTTGAGACATGACCATCTATTTCCTGCGCGATTTAAAAAGAAATCACCTTCACATTAAATTTCCCTTTCGTCGTTTTCTCGTATTTCTTTTTTTTTTGTTTATTGTAGTAATGTATAACTTAGCTAATATAGCTTTGTATTTGAACTGATCATGAATCATATCTTATGTAAAGCTTCCTATTGTGATGTCTTTTTTTTTTTTTTTTTCGCTGTTGTTGCCGAAGTAACAGGCTTGGAGACGCCGGCATGCTACTCTGTCTGCTCTCCAGAGTATACCTGGCAATTCAAGTTCTGAATCTAATGCGTATTTTGAAACTTGAATATAAAAAGCTGTATTTAACGGTACGCACCAATACGCAGTTGCAGTGTGCGGTTCCCTGGGCTACCCCGGTTTCGACAGGGACTCGTGGATCGGAAACGCGCTCTCTTGGCAGAGATCGGACGGCTGCTTCACCTTTCGGCCAGCAGCGCACAAGACTACGGCGTCGTCCCGAAACAAGAGGGAAGCAAGAACCACTCGAGGTGCCTGGAGGCTTCAGCTACTCTAGTTTACGTCACACGGTCTGGGACCGCTAGGTGAACTTTGGCGCTGTACAGTGGCGCTGTAGAGTGGCGGCCGCGCTTTTTATTTTCCGGCGGTGGCCGTTGTGCCAGGCCAGGTTTCACAACGAATCCAATGTGTGTTTAGTTCGTGTACGGACGTCGCTGCCCGCCAGATTTGGCGGGAAAAGGTCTCCGCTACATGTAACGGGGAATCAGAGTCTCATGTAATTGTTACGACATGTGTGATACGACATGACGTAACAAATTGGCAGCTAAATTTAACGGAGAATCGCAGTGTCGTGACTTGTGACGAGCGGAGTTGCATGACGTCGCAATTATCGCGCTATATTTATAGCGGAAAATTATTTCGGTAATTTTAGCGGAAAATTTTCTTCGCTAAATTTAGCGGGGATTGAGTGTCACGTGTCACGGTGCTACGTGACGTCACGGTACGACGTGACGTCATCGTGCCATGTGACATTAAAGAGTCAGGTGAACACTGTTCGGTAAACTTAGCGGTACGTAAGTCCGCTATATTTAAACACGGCGGAGTAACTGTGTTCAGGGGTGTGTAGCGTCTCGGCTGTTCATTTGCACAACACGACAAGGAGCCGGGATATTTTTCTTTTATATCATAAGAAGCCCACGAGATAGATGCACCCGAAAAAAGAGACGGTTGCTTGCCTTCTGATACCATATTTCTGTTGCAGACGGATGCGACTTGCACATGACCAGTGTGGGCGCAGGAGCTCTCGCCGTCTTCCTCAAGGCGCGTCTGCTGGCCACTCAAGAACCCAAATAAAGCACACTCGGCGTTCCGACATTCCTTTCTTTCCTTATTATAATTTTTTTTTTTTTTTTCATATTTTCTTTAACCGCGCCACGCTCGTTTGCGTCGTAAACTTTTCGGGGAGATTTTTACACTTGCGGGACACGTGGCGCGCAAGTTCAAAGCATTCCTGAGCAGGATGAGAGAGAAGACAATAATAATAATAATAGCCATAACAACTCCCGTTCACTCTTACCCATAGATTCCAGATGCCCGGGATGCTCGCAGCAATATTCTCTCTCTCTCCCCTACATGGTAACTGCACAATAAATGTTGCACGTGCCACTGGCATCTGCGTCGCGGATACTTGTGCAGCGAAAAAGTTTTTGCCATGTTGATGACCCCGTGACAATTTACCCGCTACATTAATTCCCGCATAGCCCTTCTTGGCTTCTGTGGTAATTAACTCGGAAATTTCGAATAAAATCTTAATATATTATATGGATGGATTGTAACGGCTATACCCTTTGTAACGGGCGGCAGCTTGCGCCACCTAGCCTAACATTTCGTCATCCCTTCTTTTTTTTAAATTTGTATAAATTTTGTTTTAACACAACCTCCCCCCCCCCCTTTTTTTTAAGTGTTCCCAATGCTTATTTTTATCTGTATTTTTAGCCCTCTCCTTTTCCACCAATCTTCCACTCTCCTCTTAGTTACCGCGGTTATTTCCCTATCCATTCGTCCATCCATGTCTGCAAATCCTAGTGCTCCCTCCAAATCCGTAGTCATCCCCTCCAAGAGGGTGGGACGAAGTCCCGTGCACCTTCAAATTACAGGTTCTATAGTTTCCCTTTCGCGGTTGCACACGTCGCCTAGAGTGTCTATTTCCGTTCTTAGCACCCCCCTTCTAGCTTCAAACAGCAATGAGCAATATCGTATTGTATTGCACTGTTTTGCCAACTGAGGGGTGAACCGATTAGTTTTAGCTGCAAGTAGCATAAATAAGTATATATACTTCCCAATTAACATTGACGAGATAAATAGCATGTACAGCCATGTTAATATGAACACGGTTAGTATGGACACTTCATGGTAAAGACTTTTGGGGACAAACTGGAAAGATATGTGGTTTTGGGGCCCTTAATTTGAAAGAATTATAAGCGATATTGGGGTGTAGGAGTTCATATGAACAAGACACAACTTCGACGGATAGCTATAAGTAGTTTCTCACGCTTGGTATAAGTATAAATTATTTTAAAATAAAGGTCGTTACTGGTTACTTGTTACAGTCTCGCAAAGAACGCGTTCCTTTGTTGCTGCATAATTTCTTTCGTGGCTAGTTAGGAAAGCTGGGTGCCTTGACCTTGATACGAGCGAGCCAACCACATTTTGTTGATGTGTGCTTATCTCGTCTTCGTCACCTGGAAGAATCTCGGCGTTACTGAATTAGTTACGCATTACATGCGTAGAATTATCGCTACAAGTATCTACAAAGTTAAAGCACGTTCTGAAACAACGAACTCATGCGCTGCACTTCCGCTGAAGCCTTCAAAGGTGAGCAAGATGTAGCTGAATTTGGAATTATTATATTTGAGGTGTTGTATTCAATGGTCGAAAACGTAACGAATAGAAAATAAAAACGACTACGGCTACCCGACTCGCCGCCTATCGTGACAAGAAGGAAGTGCAGAAGAGACAAGGTTCGAGTAATCGTCGGCAGATGGCAGCACAGACCAAGGTTCTTGACGACTATATGAGGCGCGCTTCCAACTTTACCGATACGGCTTATTCCGTCTGCTGGTGAAATAACAGGAGGTATAAACTTTTAACATAAAGTTTAATTACACTGAGCACTGCTATGTTTAAAGATCGCAACACACATGGTTATGCGCATCTATGAAACCATATTCATACAATCGTGCGTTTCGTCTAGGGACAAAGCACACCTTTTTTTTGTTTGTCCAGCTAGACGAAAGTTTGGTCAAGGTACATTACATTTCAAATGAATACACAGGTACCAAATAAAAACGAAATAAAGTATATAAATATATTTAGGTCGTCAATATTATATCGCCCCCCCCCCCCCCCCCCCCCTACTCTACTTCCGAATTAGAAAAACGATCACTATGACGTCGTTAGTAGGATTAATTCTGCTTTCATCGACGGAACCCAAACTTCCACCGTACCTTTTTTTTTTTTTTTAACACGCACTATTGAGCTTGTTTTTCGCAACGGGTAATTTCCGTAGCGACATCACAGGTAGGAACCACAAGAGGGGCCAATTTTTCTTCGAGTAATGGTATATGCTACGCTTGCAAGCATAGCTTACACTGTTACTCCGTCTTTGACTAGTGGGCCCCGAAAGCGCGAGCGAAACGACTATTTGCGTCGTCTGTCGGTCAGAACACGAACCTTTGAAACGAGCTTGGGATACGTGCGTCCTGTGCGAAACCGCCATATTAGGGAGTTTTCGTAAATCGTTTTCGCCTCATCGCAACGCTCTCCGCATCCCGGTACACGATACCCGGAACTCTACAATCAAGGCCATCGGCGCGCAGGCGCAGTATAGCGGCTTCTTCTTTGCGGAGGGCCTAAGGGGGGGGGGGGGGGGGGGGGGGCAGACACGGTTACCGAAAACTTCCTTATTAAGGAGTTTTTGTAGATCGTTTCCGCCGTCCCGCAAAGCTCTCCGCAACGCGATACGAGATCCGAGTTTCTTCAGTCAAGGCTAGCGGCGCGCACGCGCAGGACCGGTCTTTTCGTTGCGGATAGCTCTGCTGAAGGAGGAAGGCGGTTTACGAAAACTCCCTATTGGCTTCCTTCCGACAGCGTTTTGATAGCGCTGCCGGAAACAATCTTGGCGCAGCTTTATGGACCAAGCCTGTAAAGCCGCAGTCATACGGCTAGTATATCGTAAAAAAAAAAAAAAATTAAAAACGTTTACAATTCCCTGTAATGCCGTATTAGAGCGCAGCTCTTGAGGAGGAGTGGAGAGTACGGAGGAGGCAGCATACCTTCGTCGTGACCTTCATGAGTTACCGTCACGTCACGTGTGACGTCATTAAGGGAAACGTCCCATAATGGAATGCGCGGGTCACAAGTGACCCGCGTGTTGCATCATGGGTCGTTTCCCATAATGCAACGCGCGGGACCCTCGTGACGTCATTATGGGAAATGTCGCATAATGCAGCGCGCGGGTCACGAGTGAAACTCGCGCGTTGCATCGTGGGACGTTTCCCATAATGCACCGCGCGGTTACGCCGACGGCGACGCCGACAACGGCGACGAGGACGGCGATGCCGCTCGTGCCGGAAACGGGTGCCTAAGAGCTGCGCTCTAAAAACAATGTGCAGACACTGTCTGAGGCCTTGATTGTAGGACGGCAATGTCACATTGAGCATACAAAATCTCCAAGCATGCATATTCGCGAAGCGAACACCGTGTAGTTCGTAGGGTGCGTGAGCAGTGAGACTCCAGCTTAATCGTTATGTGGAGAGAGTGTGGTTATTTCGTG